TGACAGATTACAGTTTTACCCAGGCTGGCAGCATTTCAGTACTTCTCCCAAGTTGGTTGTTCTTCATGTGTTGAGCTATAGGGAGAGGCTGAATAGGCTGGGGCTTTTTCCCTTGGAAGACCGGAGGCTGAGGGGTGATCTTATAGAGTTTTATAAAATCATGAGAGGCATAGATAGGATGAATAGTCAAGGTCTTTTGCCCAGGCTAGGGGAGATTAAAACAAGATGGCATAGGTTAAAGGAGAGAGGAGAAAGAATCAAAAGGAACCGGAGAGGCAACTTTTTCACACAGAGGTGGTACATCTATGGAACGAGCTGCCACAGAATGTGGTGGAGGTGGCTACAATTACAACATTTAAAAGGCATCTGGATAGGTACATGAACAGGAAGGGCTTCAGAGGGATATGGGCCAAATGCTGGCAAATAGTATTAGATCAGTTTAGGATAGCTGGTCGGTGCAGACGAGTTGGACCGAAGGATCTATTTCTGTGCTGTATAACTATGACTCTATGTGCAAGCTTAGACAGTGAATGTCTGCAAGCAACTCAAGTTTTGAGATATCATAACTGAGTCCATTCATTTCCTCACCTGACATTCACACCTGTATTGGCTGACCTACCTGCAGCTACCATTATGTAGAGCGTAAACTACAGAGTTCACTGCCAGAATTCTGCAGTAAACTAGGGCATCAGTGGGAGGTGAATAATATTCTTGAAGAAGCAGTGTTTATACTTTCCCAGGAGTAAATTTAGTGGGAATCTGAACACCGGAATCTACCACCAACACGCAAGTCGATTTCTTTTTAAAGTTGTAAAATGAGGGTATTAATTTCAGTGTTCTCAAAACAGTTTTCTTTTCCTTTAGGTTACAAAGAAATAACAGCTTTTAAGTCTTAACCTTTCTTTTTATTGGCGTGTGTAGATTATATTTCAAATCATCAAAAAAAATTAAGTCACCACCAAATCCTTTTTAATATAACTCAGCTACTTTGCAAAAAGTTCCCTATAAATTATTTTCTTAATTTCTTTGATTACCAAATTTCTGTTGCTACTGGGAGACTTTGAATAGGATTTTCATCATGCATTGTAAAAATATTTGGTAAAATTAAATCACTGTAATTGATACAGCACATGATGCATAGCTCATATCTTTTCAAAGAAATTCTAGCCTATTATTTTTCTGATTGAGTGCAATAGATATTCTTGCAGCTTTGAGAGGATTTTATTGATTCATTTGACATTAGTATTTTAGTTACAAATCTTGCTAGATTCATTTTGGGTGCAATATTTTCCCAAATGTATGTATTTATTTTAAATATATATGTATGACAACAGCAATTTTAGACAGCGGGCTTATCTAAGACATCATACAGGGAAGTGTAATTTAGATGTTTAGTAGCTTGGATGAGCTGAAAACTTTTGGGTTTTGTATTTATATGAATTAAGCTCCCATCATTGGCTGTAAAGAATATTTAAGTTGAAGCATTGAAGAAGATATTGGACAAGTTGCTTTTTCAACTAAAGTCAAATCATTGCAAAAACACGAAGATTTGAAATGATCTGCTCAGTTCTAGAGTGAGGATCTATGATTGTGTAAAAGATCTTTTCTCATTTTTATGACATTTTCAGTAACTTTGGAAATATATAAGCAAAAAAAAACTGAGATAGAAACAACCTGTTGAGAATATTTTGATTTATTTTGGTTTTGGCTACATGTATACCAAGTGTTTTTCTGTATTTTTCTGATATCAATATGGTTTTGTGCAACACCGTAATGCAAAGTATAGAAATAATTAGTTGGAGATTCAAGAGTTTCACTGAATATGCTGTTGTTTTTATTTGTTCATGGGATGTGTACATTGTTGGCAAGACCATTTTTATGGCAACTCTAATTGTCCTTGAAGATCATGATAAGCTACCATCTTGAACCAATGTGCTCTTCACGCTGCCAGTACATCTGCTGTGCAGTTGGATGGTGGAGAGGCTCTTGGGAGTTCATAAGTGAATTATTTGTTACCAGATATCCAGACTGTAATCTTCTCTTCTAGCCACAGTATTTATGTGGCTTATCTAGTTAGGTTTCTGGTTAATTGTGACCCCTAGGATGTTGATGGTGAAGCTTCAGGATTGACACTGAGGTCGAATGGAATTGATTAGACTTATGGTAGTTAGAAATAATCATTAGCTGGCACTTTTGAGCTGAAACATTACTTCCATATGTCAGCTCATGCTTGATGTTGTTCAGGCCTTGTTGCCACGCAGGTGACTGCTTCGTTATTGAGAAATTGTAAATGGAACTGCCTGGTGTTATCATCAGCAAACATCCCCTCTTCTCACCTTGTTTTTGAGGGAAGAAATTTGAAACTGGTAAAAATAGAACTACCCAGCCAAATTCCTGCAGTGATATCTAAGATTATTGGCTTCCAACAAGCACAGTCATCTTCATTTGTGCTGAACATAACTTCGGAAGCAGAGAGCTTTTCGCCTTGATTCCCATTAACTTCAATTCTGTTTAGATTCTTTAATACTTTACTCAGTGAAATATTGCCTTGATGCCAAAGACAATAACTCCCTATCACTTTAGAAATAAATAACAAAACTCAGGGCAAATTTTCCACAAACAGCCAAAAACTAAAATGGGAATTACTGCAGATCTGAAGTGCATGCAGTGCCACATAATCTCACTGCATAGGATTCATTATTTGCTTGCCAGGTTACTAATCACTTTGAAAAATGCAACTGTCTCCCCTCTAGAGGAAAACAAAATCACGTGGTAAGTTTTCCTGACCATTTTTGTCTGTATTCTTGTGACCAATTCATGACCAGCATTGACAGGCACCAGTCTATGGTTTGATCCATAATTACTTGATGTAGATGATAAATTAGTGCCTTGGAAAGGTATTGAGCATCTAATGTTCTTCAGTGTTAGCAAAATCATCATAGTGTGTTTAGTTGCCATAAATAAATCAGTAAATGACACCTCGACAGCCATAGTTACTTTTGTTAATCCCTTTTTTTCTCCTAATTTCTATAATTGTTTTTAACTGGTTTGTTTCAAACTAAATACGTATGATTTATTTTGGGAATACTAGATTATGGGGACCTAAAACGCTGGATTAGGGAAATAAGCACAAATGCTTGGATGATGGTGCCAGGGTGAGTTTGTGTTTCAGAGAAAATTGAAAAGCTTCACAAATGGAAATATTCTGTCAAAACATGCTATATTGCTATCCTTCACAGGGTTACTTTTAATTCCTCACCTCAACAAATGTACAAATTCTGTCTGCCTGTCCCCTCAAGTTGTGTAATCAAAACTTACCCATCAACAAAGTTTTTTTGGTTAGAAGTCAATTTTTTTAAAAGGTTTTTTTTCATAGACCCTGTTGATGAATCTCCCACTCCTGATATTTTTTTCTGAGAATTAAAATAACTGGTTTTGTTAGAAGCAAAGGAAATCATAACAAACTGTAAGAGACACTATTCAAACATACATGACTGAATTCTGGAAACAAGTGAAGAAAATGTGCCAATCATGGAAGGAACCATGCTGTGTCCCAACTGGATCTAGGAATGCAGGAAAACACCAGCTTAGTAAAAATGGAAAGAAAACCAAATTACCAAAAACCAAAGGCAGTAAGCAAGTTTCTCCTTTTAAGTGAAAAGGTTAAAGAGAGTGCACAACAACTTAAATAGCATAGCACCAACAGTAGACATTCAGCAAACAAAATAGCACACCCTCTGTTTCAACACTTAAGCCTGGCTTTTCGATTCTGAGGTAGATATCACCAATGGGGAAATTACCTAGCTTGTCGCACCTGACTAAGGAAAAACTCCTGTGACTGGCAGGATCTTCATTCTGAGGGGAGGGGAGGACAGATACAGCTTGAAGTCTCACCACCTCTGGAAACAGATCAAAGGGAGCCACAGACACTGCTGATTGCTGAGAAAGCGGTTTAAAAGACCTGCCTCGATTCTCTGGGCCAGTGTTTCAGTTATTTGTTCATATTTTAGGCACTTATCCTTTGCTCCCATCTCACCCAACCCATTCCTCAAACCCCATCCATGCCAACTCATGCCAACCCACCCACTTCAAATTATATCATTCCCTCAATGCCAGCCAACCCCTGGGTCCTTTATAGCTCCTGATGCTAACCTAACACAATGCCTTCTACCCTTTGCTCCTAAACCATCCAAGCCTGTCACCCAGCATTCAACATCCAACATGGACAGATGTCAGGAATCATATTCAAATGAAATAAAATTAAGTTCTAAATATCTATAACAGCATTTTTTTATCTGCTACACTCCCATTCTTGAAAATCCATCAAATTGTTCAATTCCCTTCCAGTACTTTCATTCCTTATTAATAAACAAACAAACCTGTATTCATAACCGCACCTCAAAAGACTGCTAATTCTTTAACAACATCTAAGCTGTCAATCAACTGGTGGACAAAGACACCCTGCTGGGATAATTATAGGTTGCGAAAAGCAGCCATGTATTAAGAATGGTGTAATGATAGATCTTGGGATAATGTCAACAAATATCTAATGTAAATGCTCGACTTTTTTTTAAACCCCAAGTTAGCAATTTTTAAAGGGCCGAGGGTTTGAGAGTTAACATACTACTTCCACCCTTCAAGAATATTTGCATCTACTCTTAAAAAATAATCGTAATTTACGCACTGTATGTTAAGGTACTTACCACAGTGAAAGTGGGGTCTGTCTGAACTTAAAGCTGAGTTGGGTTGTGTTGATATTGAGAGTATGAGGGGTCATAAGGAGTGGGTAGGGGCCATGGGTTGGCATGGAATGTATGAGGTGTCATTGGGAATGGTTGGCTGGCATGGATGGGCTTGGGGATGAGTTGTGAGGGTTGCCAGTGATATGTGAGGAACTAAAATATGAATAAATAACTGGGATAAAGCCTGAGAGAACTAAGGCCCTGCTGAGTTTAGGTTTCTGTTGTGTTATTGATGCCCTGCTCCTTTTTCCCTACCAGTGAAAATGGAATCCGGTAGAAATGGATGAAACTTCTGAATCCAGGACCTTGGAGCCTCTACAATTTCTCCCCGATACACAGCAGGCAAACTCAGTTTCACTGAAGATGAAATAATATGCAGCAGCTATATGCTATTTTCAACATGATTTAATGTTTGTTACATGAAATCTTTAGACTTCCTTTGCAGTAGCAGCCAAGCAAAGAATAGTACATTACATGTTAACCCAAGGATATTTACAATGGGGTATTCAGGAATGATAATACTATTGAATGTTAAGGGAAGATGATTAGATTTTCTCTTGTTGGATGGTCATTTGTCTGACATTTGTGTGACACAAATATTATGTGCCACTTATCGTTTGAAGTCTGAATGTTGTCCAGATCTTGCTGCCTATGAACTTGAAGTGCCTCATTATCGGAGAAGTTTTGAACAGAGCTGAACATTGTGCAATCAGTGAAATCTTCACCTCTGACCTTATGATAAAAGGAAAGTCATTGGGACTCTTGTGGTGCAGTTGTAGTTGCCCTACCTCTGAGCCAGAAAACCTGGTTTCAAGTCCAACCTGTTCCAAAGGTATGTAATAACATCGCCAAACAGTTTGATTAGAAAATATCTAGAAGGAAAGTTATTGATGAAACAACTGAAATAGTTGGGCCAAGGGCACTACCCTGAGGAACTCCAGGAATTGAATGATTGACCTCTAACCGTCACTATCATCTTCCTTTGTATCAAGTGTGACTCCAACAGTGGAGAGTTTTTCTCTGTGATTTTCATTAACCCTCCAGTTTTGTTACGGCTCCTCAGTGTCACAATGGGTTAAAATCAGCTTTGATGTCAAGGGCATTCAGCTGGTGTTCAGCTCTTGACCATGTTTGGACCAAGGCTATTATGATGTCAGGAGCAGTGTGAATCTGGCAAAACCTAGTGATTGTCAGTGAGCACATCTGTTCAGAGGGAAAAAAAACAGTTTTTAAAGTCTATTCACATAATTGAAATCACCCATTCCTGGAGCTATTCTGATAAAATTTTTGAGGGTTTACAGAAGAAATTTATGTGCCCAGAATTGGACATTTGTTAATACTAAAGCCAAACTAGTGTTCCATGTAGTTTCATTTGTATTCTACCACTATTTATAAAGCGAAGGAACCCATTTGCTTCATGAGCCGTGTTATGACCACCTGACTTTCGTAAGACGGTAGCATAATATATAGTGTGCCTTAGGGTTTTCAGTTGTGTTAACAATTATTAGGGAATATAGTTTGGTGCATTGCTTGCCTACTAAGCAATATTAAGTCAATGTGAATTTTGGTTTGCTTACAGTAGAAACCTTATATGTATTAAATTTTGTTGCATGATACATGTGTTTGGTCACTAGATCACTTGTATGTCTTTTTTCTGAGAAGTTGTTAGTCTCTACGCTGTGACAAGATGTGCCTTTAAGAGGGATTTGTTATGAACTGTTTCTCTTGAAGAGGTGTGTTGTAAACCTGGTGACAATGTGTCTGCTCCATGGAAAGCAGAATATGTAGCTTTAGGTTTTATTTTAAGCAGACAAATGAAGCATGAGTGGGTGGATTCAGGCTCACACAGATCCAGGGTTTTAGTTTTCCTTTCAGATGTTGAAGTTGGGGTTTTTGGAGTTGAAGATGCTGCTACAAAAAACCTTGAGGTCTCTCTCTGGTGGTAGATTCATTCTGTTGGGATTCCTTCCAGGGGACTGGAAAAGATAACAAGTGAGGGAAATCTGTTTTGCTGAATTTACCTTTACCAAAGATGTTCATGGAATGCTGCTATATTGGAACGGTTGATGAGTAGTAGTTAAATAACATTTTATCGTTAAGTATTTCAATAGTTAAAGTTATGCCAATTCATTTTTTGTTTCTATTTTAGCTATGGTGTGAGAGTAAAATGTGTTTTGCTTAAAGCCTAGTAGCTTGACTATCAAATCACATCTGGAACATAGCACTTTATACCTCCCTTTACATAAGATGAAAGTTTGGGTCTGGGCAATCTCCTTGATATGTTTAAGGGGAGTTGGTTTGATTCAAAACAATGCACAGGTCTTCTCTCTGTTATTAAAACTCCTTAACATTGTTCTGTTTAACTTGTACTATCTGTTCTCTCATCTCAGCAAACTCTGTTATGTCTCACTTTTCTGGATTGAATGTGTTGCCCATTCCACTAACCTTTCTATGTCATTTGAAGCCTATTATTGTGGCGGTTAGCTCAGTTGGCTGGATAGCTGGTTTGCAAGGTAGAATGATGCCAAAAGCATGGGTTCAGTTCCTGCACCAAGTGAGGTTACTTTGTCAACCTCCCCACTTGCCTGAGGCATCGCAACCCTCAGGTTGAACCACCATCAGTCATGTCTGTCTCTAAGGGGAGAGCAGCCCTATGTTCTGGTAGGAACGTGGTGACTTTACCTTTACTTCATTCTTGTCTTTACTTTTAGCCACAACTTTTAAATTATGCCCTGTAACTTCACATTTAAATGATAAATACTTCCCAAGAGCAGTAATGACCCTAGCACCAATCCCTGGAGTAGCACCACTATGTACCTCACTCTGGTCTGACAGACAGCCATTCACTACACTTTGTTTTCTATTCCTTAGTCAGTTTTGTATCCAGATAGCTATTCTCTGGTACAACTACCTTCTCTTTTTTTCAAATGCACAGATTGCAGTTTTAGGTATGTCTGGAGCATTATTGATGTATTGTCCAATGTCAGATCTGATCACAGCAACATTGGGGTAGTTGAAGCTGAAGTTAACAAAGGCAAGAATGAACTCTTCAGTAATTGATGGGTGATGATGCATGGACGAAGGAGATGATCATAGTGATGGAGAGGAAGTTCTGTCAACACTCAACTATGGGTCAATTATTGAGTTCGTGAACAGTTGTTTCAACCCAAGTCCATGGCCAGAGAAGGAAAATGAATTATAAGCTATGGAGCAGAGTTTGGTTTTGGGATCGAATGCTTAATTAGAAAAAAACCAGCTCATCTAGGACTGGATGGTGACATCACAGAAGCAGTAACAAAGACCAAGCAGTTGCCATAACTCCCTTCATTTTGGACAAAACAAGTTTTGCCTTCCTTGTTAGCAATTGTATGCTGCTGCTGGCATACAATTTGGCAAAAATACATTGGTTGCTTGAATTACTGTTGTGAGCCTGAAGTTTAAGTGCACTTTGAATCAGATGGTAGAAATGCCAAATAAGTGGCTTCCTCAGAAATTGATTCTACTGTAGTATAGTCCTTCCCCAGCCTGCAATTAGATATTAAAAACACTGATGAATTTTTAAACTATTCAAGTGAATGACTTGTCCACTTTAGAAAGGAAACTTACAGCAGAGTAGGAACATCAAAAGAAATCATTATCCCCAATGATTCAGCTTATTTTGCTCCCAAAACCCCTCACCTTTTATCTTCCCCCTCACATTTTTCAGAATTGGGAACATACATTCATTTCTTGCTCCAAACTGCCCCCTCATGCACTGAGGGTTACTATTGAGTTTTCTTGAGGGCTACATTTTTTCATTAACCAGCTACTTTTTCATATTTGCCAATTTACTTATTCAGTGATACAGTCACATAGCAATAACACGTGCATGTGTCAATTTAGAGGCTATTTAGACTTGCATATGTAGTCAAATGATCTTGGGCCCAAGATTGGACATTCTAAATTGACCCACAGCCAGGAAAACAAGCCTGACAGAAAATTAGTCAAACTAAATTACACAGCAGCCAGCAGCTATCAGCACAGAGATAACCAAGATTAAAGAGTTACAAAGGTTCAAGGACAACCAGTTACAACCGGCCGATGTGTTTTAGAGAAGTGTCAATCAGCTGTTCTGGCATCTTAACTGCCTAAGTGTGTGCACTTAACACTTCCCAGAATGGTGACAGTGAAGGGTATTGACGTGACCCTATTGGATGACTTGAACCCAGTTCATGATCCCATTGGCCAAAGGCCACAGAGCAATCTGGAAGGTGTGGTGCAAGATAGTGTAAGAACACACATCTGAATGTCACCCTCAGTGAAGACGCAGTCAAGACTAGGTGAACAATTGACCTGTCCCAGCAGCAGAGCTCCATCTACCTGAGAGAGTGTGGATATCCCCCCGACCCATGAGACACATGTTCGTGGAAGAGAACCACCCCTGTATTGAAGAGGAAGGAGATTCTAACGGCCCAGCTCAAACACATGGAACATGGCGAGTAATATCCTTTTTCAAATGGATAGAGTGAAATAAAGAATAGTTATTGTGGGTGTTTGGAAATGCCCACTTGTTGTTTTTAATGAAAAATATTTTGTTAATAAAATTGAGTTTCATCACAAACTGAATTCTGTATCTCTCTGTGTCTCACCATCAAGAGTGCCTGGGTAATGTGTTTTTAATACATAAACTGGTTGAAGTTTCCAAAGCATGGACAAAACACAGAAGCAGGATTAGAAGAATTCATTAGTATCCTCAACAATTGCCAACTGTCTATAAAACTTGAAGCCACAGCACACAAGGAAAGCATTAATTTGCAGATAATTCATTACATAAGTCATTTCCAGTTTTCCTCATTTCTCGTTTGCTGAATATTTTGTTTGTTGACAGATTTAAAACTGTTAGCATTATTTTGCAGCCCCACTCTCCTCACACCTCCACACTGCGTCCTCCCCCCGTCTCCTCATGCCTCTCTATCTGTACTGTCTCTTGTAGGAACACTTCCTCTCACTTCTCACACCCCCAGTTGCAACCACCTCCTCTCTCCCTCTTGCAGCCTTCCTTTCTAAGCTGCCTTTTAGCCTCCATCTCCCAGTCCTGAAACCTCCACCTTTCTCATTTCCATTCTCTACTCTGCTGCTGTTTGTCATCGCACCACCCCTGCAATCTCCCCTTCTCACTTCCTTTGGTTCCTATTGACTCCTCTCTTTCCCTTAATGTATACAGTCACCTTCTCCCTCTGCCATCATGCCCTCCAATCCCTGCAGTTTCTTCCTCTCTTCCGCCCCGCCCTTGAAGCCTCTTCCGTCCACCTTTTGCCTCCTTACCCTTGTAGCTTCCTCTACTCTGTCTCTACACCCACAAATATCTGAAACCCCACCTTTAGCTAATCCCCAATTCCTGAAACCTCCCCTCTCTGTCTTTTCCCCACCATTCCGACTTTTACACTCAATCTGTTCTTTAACTCCACCTCTGCAGCTGCCTGGTTTGTTTTCCCCCCCCCCCCTTGCCGCCTTTCTCTCTCTGTCTTCCCCCCCCCCCCCCCCACCACCACCACTGCGACCTCCTGTTGTCTCTTCCCCTGAACTCTGCAGCCTCCTCATTGTGTATGTCTCTCTCTCCCACACCCCTGCAGATTCTCTCTCTCACTTTGCCTAATCAGCTTGGTAACTTGGGCTCCTTCATCTCTGGCCCCACTTCTCTGGCTCAGACCCTGGCCCTTTTCTCTGATCTCACCAACTCAGGCCTTTTGAGCTCTGTAACCCCTCACTGTTGCCATGTGCCTTCTCACTGTTCCTTCAGTCAAGGGCTGGCTTTGTCCTGTGATTGCTGCTGATGGGCTTGCTACTGAGCATGGGAGAGAAGGAGCTTTTAAGAAAGTCTTGTCTTTCAACGTCCAGCCACCTGTGATCAAATTTTTTCAGGCATTTTGTGGATGGATTTGTCTGCTGCTCCTGTGTCTTTTGAGCATTGCCACATAGCCAATGAATTTGACCATCTCTACATTGCAAGCAGTGAAGAATAACACCAGTTGCATCCCCTCTGCTGGGCACTATGCCACACTGTCTTAAACCAAATATCACAAAGATTCTGTTCTTTCACTTAGATTCCAGTGCTTACAGTGAACATTACCCAAATTGTCAAATTCTCAAAGATGATGTTTGTCCAATGCACTTAGACAGTGTCCCCAACCAGTCACTAACCTATCATAGCTATTTACTGAAAACTGCTAGAAAAGTAAAACCCCCAAATCACCTCGCTATCAAACACTTCAGGCAACACCTAGTGAGTGCTCAATCTTTTCCAACAACTTTAACTTTCTTTGAACTCTGTAAATCAGCGTGGCATCTCTGATCCTACAGATTGTTGACCAAGATCTAACATTGTATTTGGGCCGGTTCTCAACTGCTTTTCAACTGGACAGGAGTGGTATACCTCACATCTTCACCAGTGGTGGCCTCATGGACTAGCTGACAATAGCTGCCCTTACAGGCAAATTGAATCCATGTTCCACATGATTAAGTCAATCTCACTGTTGTATCTGGTCGTCCACATGCTTTGAGTACTTGATAATGACTGTATTTTAACATGCGTAAAATCCTAAGAATTAGTTATTGTTTTGGTTTCTAGTGGCTTATTTG